GTTTGTTTTGCAACGTCACGCTCTACTTGAGAGACATTTTCTCACGTCTCAGGGTTCGACATGATGTATGGACCAGATTGATAGACCATCTGCGAGTCAGGTCAGAGCACACCACCAACCTACCACTCACTGAAGCGAAGGCTTTCTGCGGACAGCATTGGATCGAATGTACCACAGCCGTTGTGATTACATCTTTCTTGCGGAGATGGAAAAAAAGGTCTGACGTATCAGCAGGCATGCAAAGCGGAGATGCGACGTTGAGGTAGCTGGTTCAGCGTGTCACAGCGGCGCCAAGTTCATCGGCCAGATACGATACAGTCGATCCCGGGTATGCTGTCATTGGCTTTCTTGCGAAACGAAAGTGCCAGTCTCAATGTGCCTAGGGGCTGGACCCAGAGTCTGACCCTGAATGGGAAATGCAAGTAGCCGTTCGGCTGCAAAAGGGGCCGGTGTCTCTGTGCCACGCCGACTTCAACAGGGGCTACAGAAAATGGTGAAATCCTCGATCCAGCAATGAGCGCCATCTCCCACCGACACGAGGCCCTGGATCCAAAATTACATCAGCCTCGAGGATGCGAATTCAGCACCGACGGTACGAGGGACCTGACTGTCACAGACCTCAGAGACGGGTATCACAGCCGGATTACATTGGCTACATGGTGCCTCCGCCGGAACCATCCACTTGATCGACGTCTTGAGCGGGCGAATGAGCCATCCCGTTCGCCATCTCACGATGCGCAAAAGTAAGTTCTTGAAGGTCATGTGGAAAACTTTGTGCAATCAAGTCAAATTTCACTGTCTCGCGCGTGGTTCCAGAGACACGCCTCTCCCTACGTGATCCTTCGCTTCTTCCTTCCCTCGACCGTTTAACTGACGAGTCTCAGGAACGCAACGCACGAAATTCAAGACAACACGCAGGTTGCGCTGTCAGTATGTAGTGGCTTTCAGAGCAATCTGGGAAAAGGGGCGCGCGGCGCCGCATGGGAGCAAGCCACGAGAGGTTCAGAGGCTGGACAGGGTCTTGTGAGGACGGGGCTATACGAGGTCCAGGTTCCTCCGCGTGAAACGGCGCCGGCCAATGCCACAAGCTGGAAAGCGATCGCGCGGCCCGGCGCATCTCGCAGCTGGGGGAAAGCCGCAACCCGAGCCGAGCGGGGGAGCAGGCAGGCGGCGGGCGCGGTGACACGGAGAGTCAGCCTCGGAGGGGGTGGGTGGGCCAGCAGGGCACTGCTTGTGTTGCAATGTGTGGTAATTTGTGCTCCCCCAAAGGCCTGGTCTGGTCTGGGGGGGAATGCGGGATGGTGATACTCGTTTACCTGCACCCTCTCACGGCGCGGGAGCGCCCTGGAGTGGGATGAGTATTCCGTGGGGAAGGAGGTGAGACGGGAGAATAAGAAAAATTGGAACAAGTGCGGAGGGGTTGGGTGTCACGACTGGGTCAGATCTTGACCTATTCCTGGGCCTTCGTTGTACAGGAGGAATGATGCGCGAGGTCAGTCGGTCTTCCTTCTCCTCCCGTTGTGCGATGATCCAAAGCGCATCAAGTAATAGGCTTTTCCGTGACTGGGGTGAAATAAGGCCGGAGAGATATTCGTGCGCAGACAGGTAGGATACACCGAGAAGTGATGTCGGACTCTGTTCGAATGCCCCCGGAAACGACCTCGGTGTCTTGATAGGATTGGACCCAATGTCACCAGATGACACGACTATCGCTCATCTTGGAACCTCCTTTCTGATCTCCCGCGACAGCTCGGTGCTTGATGGAGCGTGCGCTGCTTCACTTCATCCTGACATTCGGTCCGGCCCTTCGAAATGGTCTGGCGCACCAACAGCGGGCGGGATGTGACTTCGTTGGGAAGTCTCCCCGGTGAAAGGGCTGGGGGTAAGGTGTGGCTCGAAGCTGACCGAGGTGGCCGGGGGTGCGCGGTCTCGGTGTAATACCAGGTGACCTCCAAATTACACGACCGGGACTTCGGGCCAGCTGCCTCTTATGATTTCCATTGAAAATATCTCGGGACGAATTTTCATTTCAATGGGCGTATCAACCAACTTCAAGCCGTCATGTTGTCCATGCTGCTTTCTTGATCACATGGGTTGGTCCGCATTGACAGCGCAAGACTGCCTCCGTTGTGAACGGAAGGGATAAGTCCTCAAGTATTTAGGATGGCCATCGTTGTCGCAGACTATCCAATCAATGACATCAGAAATCTACATGTTTTAAGCTTTAATGAAAGATCCACCGTAAGCTTGTGTCCCGAGCAGTTCTCAGGGCTGAAAGCCCTTCACCATACATAGTCGTTGAGAGGGGGTGTCATGTACCCCAGATTAATCCAAAATGTTGCACTGGGATGATGATCTGAGGGCGGCAACAGATTGATCGCCCTGCAAAACCGGATGAAAAAGGTGATACCAGGTGATAAAAATTTAATCAGAAACATTGCAGAATTGATTTTATTGCATTTTCTTGTCTCTACCTGGCGACGACGTCCTGACACACCCACCACGCGGCGGAAATACCACGCGACGAGAACCAAATTGAGGTCGTCGCTCACACGCCCCTCCCATGTCGACAATATTGTAGGCTTATCCGTCCCGTTTCAATGAGCCGGTACTAGGAAATTGACGAGGCGCAGCAAAGATGAAGGATTCTCTCATGACTTCCTCAAACGCCATGTTGTCTTTGCAAGACATCTTCACCGGTAGGACCTGTTCGGGAAGTCGCGGTGTTTAGGCTAAAGGCAGCGGATAAACGCGCCCGTCCTCACCGCTGTCGCATAGCAGAGAGAAAACAACAGCGTTGTTGATGGTGTGCAAACGTGTGCTGCAGGCGAGCTGGTAGCGTGAGCACTTTCATCCTCCAATGCTTGTAGCCAGGAGCCTCCTGCGGGTAGGCTATGAGCAAGCGGCGAAGCATGCAAAGATATGCCCTCATCTGTAGACCCTGTCACAGATTTCCAACAACTGCGTTCTGAGATGAGAGTCCATCAGAGGCGGTGAGAGCATCAAACAGGAGGCGCTTCTCCAGCTTTCGCAAAGATCGGAGGTTGAACTTGCGAAGAGTTATCTTCCCTGCCTACCGGCCCGCGCAAGCCTAGCAGTAGCTCATAGTATGTTATGGCTTGGGAGCAACGGATCCGTCGACTAGACGGCTGTCCAAGACAATCGCAATATCTTGCCCGAGCCGTTGAAGTTTTCCCGCGTGGATCGACGAAGTCTGCATCATATGGATCCCTCTGCCGTTGAACGAGGCCTAAACCTGCGACCTGGGTGTGTTTGAAATGATCACACCACCAACGAGCAATTGCTTCTTTGGGCCGCAGCGGAGCCGACGTGCAGCCCGGGGAATCTGATGCAAGGGGTCTGGTGACGATGCCGCGCTGGGTCGTCTGGGGAAGGAGACGCTTTAGGAAAACCTCCACTTGGGGTGCACACCTCTGCCGTCCTTGGAGAAGATGTAATGAAGAAAGTATTTCGAGCCCACAACCTCAAACGGAGTGTCGGGACGTTGGGTGAGACATAGGGGTATGTCTCTCTCTGTCTCTCTGATAGAAGTATCGGTTGGCGACGCCTCAGGTTGACGAGACGCATCTGGGCGCAGTTTTCAAATTCGATCTCGTGACGGATCTCAACGTTGCAGGCTGAAATCCAATGCCACCTTCACCACGCTGATGGCTGCGGTAAGCGAGCGGTCGTGCCTCGCGACCAACCAATGCTTTGGAACAGTCCCTGACGATGAGGGCAAGCCAGCTTTGCTGCTGGGAAGAAATCGGCGATGTCAACATCCATCCGGTGAGGGCGGCGATGATCATTTCTCATTCCCTCGGTTGCGTTGCGTGAGCTTGCTGATCTTCCAATCCTCCGCGGTGCCTCGGTTCGTCTCCCGGGAGGGCGAAGATCTAGATCGGCAGGACTGGGATAATGAAGAGTTGCCTTACCGACGAAACCCCTAATTGGTCGACAAATCGATTGCTACGTGCGAAATATGACAGAGAGAAGCCGCCTGACTACGGATGCTTGGCTTTGCTAGCTCTGCCACGTCAGTCAGATCCGTTAACGAGCTCTAACATGATGCCCATGGTGTTCACGTGTAGAATAAATCGAGATGATCCAGATAGGAGGAGGCTTGAAGGCGCAGCAGTTGAAGACTTCGTCTTCTGTAGGAGTATTTCATGCTCGCGCTCTGAGATTTGTACAGAATATCCCGTGAGGTCATCAATTTGAATCCCCTGGAGCCCCATGCACTTGGAAGTAACTTGAAGACGGAGTACGCTTTGGCAGGAAGCTTCCGTACTTCTATGCCCTTCACCACTGATTAGATACTTGTCAGATATGTAAGGTGATGACTTAGGGCCCGGGGAAGTTTACTCTCAACTGCTGCCTCAACTTTTCCAAAGACCAATATCAGTTGACCCATGCCAGGCCTGGCAGAGTGCGAATTCAGATCATTCGTATAATTGAACCGGAGTTGCGGCGAGGCCAGTTGGTGTGTCCTGGATCCATGAATTCTTGTTGAACGGTTCCAGAGCACTAAGAGCTATGCGTGATGTTGTCGGCGATGCTGCTCACATCCAAATGCCAGCTCATGAAGCAGTGTCTTGATAACGACGCGGCGCGGTGTTCGTTTCTTGCTGAGTGAAGCCATCTTGAGGATATTCCAGTTTATGTATCTTTCTTATGTTCCGATCATATCGGAGTCCATAGTCTGGAGAAGTCGAGAGAAGATCGCGGGAGACACGTTGGTAGTGATTGCTTGAAGGGAAGGAGCAGCGGTGCGGTCTTTGCTGGGAAGGCGCTCCTGGACAACGCTCTTTCCAGAAGGAAGTAACGCAAGGCGTGTTCATTCCTTTCCGATTACGGTGCCTATCGTCAAGTAGAAAACTTTTCAATCTCTCCACTCCACGTCTAGGAAGCCTTTCCCCGAATATTCTTCTCTGATTCAGGTGCATAGATCCCCGCGTTGACGTCGACATTGATGCACTTGGCACGACTCGATTCTCAAGATGGTTGGTCAAAGGGGCGGGTCAGTACTCTTCCTATGTCTGCCAGCTTGATTCTCACCGTATCCCAGCCGCAAGACTGGTGGCCGACTCAACTTGAATGTCACCAAGCAAGGCTTCACCCCTATCAACGGCACCAAACGACCGTTGACACCTGTATCCGCTGCGGGAAACGCGACTCCGGCCAAGCGCGTCACTGTCGACTCTGCTACCGCAGCGCTGGAGCTCAATGGAGACAATACTCATGCCTACGACGTGCTCGCCTCCTCTTCTACAGTGGACGGCATTCCTGCCGAGTCACGCCATCCGCCAGACTCGTTTCCAATCCAAACTCAGCTGTCGCCATACGAGATACCCGAGACACCGCCCGCATCCTTGTTGTCAACTGTTCAAACAACAGAACTACCCTCGGATGATTCTTGGATGAACGAGTTTGTCGACCTGGACGGCGACATTCAAGGGCTCGACGCTGCTTTCACGGCATCCGACGACCATCACGATGACCATTCTCAGGAGCTATCGACTCAACACGCCGAGCAATCCATCAGCGAGCTTGTATCTGCCCCCGCAGAAGATGTTGCCCGCCTCGAAGACGACTACGGTCTTGACGAATCCGACGAAGAGGACATGATTCAGCTGGTGGAGGCTTCAGGCGACAACGCTTCGAGAATCCCACCGTCGAGTGTCACGCAGAGAACAGACAATGATTCGAGATCAGCCGAAAGCTACGATTTGCGGTTGCAGCATTTCACGCCAGCGAAAAGCGAACATGCAGATCTCGAGAACACATTCGAGGAGCCTGATCTCCTGGACGAGGATGTTGACTGGGACCTTGTGACAGCATGCGCAACAATGGCCACGACGACCCCTGCCGAAGCAAAGCACACCGGTGTTGTCAGTCCAACTTACAGCGCCTCGTCGGGCATAACTCCAATCACCAGGCCTCCTTTCCCCAAAAAGACCAGAGATCGATCCGTCGTCGTTGGTTTATCAACCACGGTCATCTTGCGAACTTGCTTCAGGATCGGAGAGCTGCTGAACGCACACACCAGATGCGCACGAGCGAAGCAGGACGTTGTTATGGAGCTATTCGCGAGAATCAGGAATTCAAGCCGTGAGAGCACTGCAAAGACCCAGCATTTCGAGTTAAAAGACCTCTTCACCGATCGTAAGCCGTTTCTCTATGGGTCGCTCAAAGAATGGAAGAGCGGCGGGTTTGTCGATAGCCAGACTCAAGCGCTTGTGGGACGGGACTGGAAGGACAAGCTGTGCCGATGCATATGCAAGCTGGTAGAGGACAAGAAGTCGCCGATTGGACGTTCGGCGCAGATTCTGGCCATCTCGGAGACAACCTGGGACGACGTCCATTTCGCTTTGCGGATTGTCACCAGAGATCCGGGATCCGACGACGGTACACAGAATGAGTCCATGTCTTGCGAAACTTGATTGGCGCAGCTGTCGATGTAAAGGGACACAATTTTGAAGTGGGAAACTTGCTATATTTGGACGGGATTGCTTGAAGTCAGATCTTCCAGATCAGGGGATGCATAGATGGTGCTAGCTAAGTTTAGAGACCCGAAGTTCATCAATATGATTATTATTTTAACAAATGATTCTTGCAAACGTCTCCAGAGTGCGGTCGTGTGACACGCTTCTGTAAATGAGGCTGTCGTATTAAATGGTATGACTGCAGGTGTTCGGTGAGCAGAGAGCCTCCGTGATTCGTGGTACACTGCAGGTAATCTGATAGGACGGCTGCCACCTAAAGACCAGGCTTTCTTGTGTCAGCCTAAGACTTCTCTTCCCGTCAATACCTCATCCACTACTTGAGTATCTCGCCACAATCCAACGAGCGAAGCTTTTGAAGCAGGCATAAGTCATAACAGATGGATTCCGAAGAGTACTATGCGTCGATTCTAAGGGGAAGGTGCGTCAAATGCCGCAATATCCCCTGGCACTACAGCTCGTGGTTTGAAGGTCGATCTATCCTCGACATTGAGCATCACGAATCGTGGGCCGCTCTCGAGGAGGCGGCGGCAGCTGGTTGTGACATCTGTCGCGGTCTGAGGGCTCGTGCTCTTCTCGAAAATGGCCAAGAGATATCGGAGGGCGTTCCGTGTTTGCTTCGCATCAGCTTGAGCAATTCGAACCTTATTTGCCTATACTCCATAGGAAGGAAGGAAGGACTCAGCTTTTGGTTTGGGTTTGAGCGGGCTAATGGTCTGAATATTCCTCCGGAGCATTTGCTTCCTATCAAGAGTACTTCATCCACCCAGCCTGTCGAGGACGAGATGCTAATAGCCGCAACAGGTCTTGCTTCAGATACACAGCAATCCGATATAGACAGCCTGATCAAAGAGCTGATCAACCCCTGGATAGAGGATTGTATCCATCAACGGGGACGGCATGCAGACTGTAAACCGGTATCTGGCGGCGGGCAAGATAGTTTTTATCTCCCAACGCGCTTGATTAACGTCGGAGATGACGATTGCCACCCAGTCCGGCTCATCGAGACGAGGGATTTGTTTGCAACCAAGCCGAAGCCAGAGTACCTAGCTCTAAGCTACTGTTGGGGCAAGAGCAACGAGCCAGCAAAGACCACAAGAGCAAATTTTCAGGCACGGCAGCGACGCCTCGACGAATGCGACTTCCCAAAGACTATCCGCAACGCCATCGACCTTACTCGTCGCATGGGTATCAAATACCTGTGGGTCGACGCGGTGTGCATCATCCAACCCACTAGTCAGGACCAGTATCTGAGAGACTGGGAGGAGGAAGCTTCCAGGATGGCCTCCTACTACTCCAACGCACGTTGCCTCATCTCGGCTCTCTCCGCATCCGATTCCAGCCAGGGCATTTTCGCTGAGCGCCCCGCCCAACTATACCCCCAAGCCAACACCCCGATATCCTTCGACGAAGCCCGCAACGAAACGCTCTACCTCCCCGTGAACGAGCTCGTCTTCCACATGCAGTTCGACACCCAGCCGCTGCTCAAACGAGGATGGTGCTTCCAAGAACGTCTCTTGTCCCCACGCGCGCTACAATGGGCGACCAATTGCCTCTTTTGGCAGTGCCAGAGTCTGACACAGGCATCGGAGCAAGACCCGGAGGACAAGTTATCGAGGCCCATACCTGTCTTCCTGCGCGACGAGCCGCAGATCTTTCAAAAACCACCTGAGGACGCTTTAGGGTTTTCGTGGCACAGGGTGGTAGTTGAGTATACACGCACCAACTTCACCTATCTAACCGACCGCCTGATTGCGATCGAGAGCTTGGGTACTCGTCTGGCGGAGATCCATGGGGTCGAATATTATGCCGGGGTATTTGGCTCTAAGCTCTCTAGAGGACTCTTGTGGCGGCTGAGAGGTGACTCGGAATTATGTGAGAAGCTTTCCTATTTTCCCTCTTGGTCTTGGGCCTCCAGCATATCAAGTATTGCTGACCCGGTACACTTTGAATACGCGCATGGATCCTCCCTCAAGTCGCTGATCAGGGTCGGTGGCAAGGGGAAGGTGTTTCCACCGGCCGGCTCGGCCGTGGACTTTGGCACGCCCGAGAAACGATCCCTTCGGCTGGAGGCGCCGTTGCTGAACATTATCCCTGCGGGCGTGCGCGCGGAGTTTGAGAAGACTCACCGTTTGCGTTCTTTCAAGTTCATGGATGAGTCGTGGAGTGTTGAGGTCGAAATGATCTTTGACGCTCCGCGTCTCGTACCTGAGGAATTTGGACTTACAACGGTGCTGTTGCTATCTGTCCTGGATTACCAGATTGAGGTCGTTATGGCTGGTCTCGTCATTCGGCCGCAAGACGCTTACTACGAACGGGTTGGATTTGCGTTGTTCAGGACGCCACTAGAGCCGTCTGAAAGATCGACAAAGCTGTCAGAGTTGATGGCCAGGCTCGAGGAAAACCGATCGAATGTGGTTCTTATATAGCAACGCGTTGAACATTACATGGGAACGCGGTAGCTTAGCATATGATTAATCGAAGGATAGAACATTGTTGGCTTCAATCGTTCAATTGAGGCATGATGAATAGAGAGCATCAATCATATACAAAATGTACGTGTGGCAGGGTTCTTCAACGTCCTCCCACATCACTTTCATTCAATCATCTCTATTCACACCAAGTCCTCCTTACAACCAGGTGTAGCACTCATCAGCCACAGGGACTTCAACGCTGTAGAGCTCCTGCGACCACCACTGGGTGGCAAAGCCGACGACGCTGAAGAAGAAGTCGCTCTTGACGGCGAAGCCCTCAGCGCAGGCGGTGTTGTCCGTGCCGATACCAGTACCCTCAGTACCGGCGCCCTGGCTCGCGGAGAGGGTGAAGTCGTTGACGAGCTTGGAGTGGGAGGTGACGCCGGTGCTGAGGTCGATGGCGCCGCCGAGGATGGTGAAGGCGAGCTGGACGCCGAGCTCGACGTAGGGGTTGACGCCGACGGCGGCCTTCTCGGAGATGTTGGCCTGCGCGGTCCAGACGGGGTCCCAGCCAGTGGCGGCGGTGGCGGACGAGTTGACGAGGTCGAGGTGGAGCTTGGCGTCGGGGAAGGAGAGGCCGAGGTCGGTGGTGACGGTGGCCTTGGCGTCGGCCTCGAGCTCGACGCCGATGGCGAAGCCGAGGGCGGGGCCGAGCTTGATGATGCCGGGGATGTCGACGAAGTTGTAGGCGAGGTCCTCCGGGTCGTAGGTGAAGTTGCCGGCGTAGGGGGCGGTGGCGGCGACGGTGAGGCCGAGGCGGGCGTCGAAGACGGTGTCGATGTCGAGGGCGAGCTCGTCGACCTTGAGGGGGATGATGGAGTACTTGAGGACGCCGGAGAAGGTCATGGCGGAGGAAAGGGAGGCCTCGTCGGCGGTGATGGCGACGTAGGGGTCCGCGGTGAAGAGGGTGGTGGCGGCGGGGAGGGCAAGGGTGTTTGTGATGTGGACGCCCTCGTCGTCCCAGGAGATGTCACGCTTGGCGGGGTTGGTGACGGGGACGTTGGAGAAGATGATTTGCGTGGAGACTGAGAGGTGTTAGTTGTCACTGCTTCAATATAAAGCGGTGAGATGGGGGATGGCTTACGGGCAGTGTTGGCAACGTCACTCTTGTGAGCGTTGGCGACGACCTTCAGGGTAGCAGCGTCAAAGGTGACAGTGTCCACAACGAAGAAACCGCGCTCGTTCTGAACGTCGCAGTTTCCGGCATGGTTGGTGACCATGACGAAGTCATCCAAGGCCTGCCAGTCGCTCGAGGTCTGCTCGAAGGCGGCCGTCTCGTTGAAAGTGACGGTGATGCTCTCTGCGGCGCAGTCGACGGCAGCGACGGCGGCGACCTCCTCGAGGACGACGGAGGGATACTTCATGGCCAGGGAGACAGAGACGAGCTTCTCATTCTTGGCGCCATACTCGAGGGTGATGTTGCTGGCGGGCACCAGGTTGGCCGGGTCGGCCTTGTTGCAACCCTCGCGGAGGACGGGGACAAGGGTCGTGGTGGTGTTGGCGGCGTGAGCCGCGGCGGCCAGGGCAAGGGTGAGGAGGGCGAGCATCTTGGGCGGCTGCTTTTGAGAGGATGAGGACCTAAGGAGAGACGGAGGCTGGCGAACCTAGACCCGTGATAGAGGCTGCAGGAAGGGGATGAGAGGGATCATATAGACGGGCGAGATGGAGGCACGAGAGACGGATGTGTTGGTGCCATCTTGGCGGTAGGTGAACATGCAGGTCGACCACGACGTTATCCACCGGTATTACATGCGTCCATGTAACCACGATGCCCTCACGGGGACTCTCACGGGTCAGCGCCGAATACCCTCATCTTATTTCGATATCACGTCCGATATCCGATGCCACCCCCTTGCGCGCGCGTCCTCAGCGGCCCCGCAGCGTTCACCGTGGTGCACGAGTCACGGAAGGGACCCCAAGAGCAACTCAAGGTTATCGAAAGTTATCAATAAATCGCGCCCTGGGTGCAACCTCACAGACCTTGATTTAATGTCGCATCGAACCGCGGGGTTCAACTCTATGGGCATGTCTTCTATCAGTGAAAAGGATGCGCTGCTCTCGGCCGAGCAGGTGAAGCGGGTAAGATAATGGGCGCACAGAGCACTCGTGCCCCGCGTGGGAAGCTGTCATTGGAGCGACGCTTGCCCCCGGCACGTGGGAGGATCTGGGAAATATATTATATTGACACATGCCGCCGAGGGTCATGGGCGGGATCGTAGCATCTCCGGCGGGGGTCATCGGGTGGGAGCGCCCGGAATGGTGTTCGGCGGGGACCCTGGGAGGCCGGGCGCTGATCCCAAAAGGGGTCTTGCGGCCGAGGCCGGGATCCACGGGCGGTATTTGCAGAGTCGGTGACCGATTTCGGAAGTTCGGGGATGCGACCTTCTCTCTTCTGCAGTGTTAGATAGGCTTCTACGGGGCACAGCGAGGATGAAAGAGGAATGTCATGTGGATTGCTCGACTCGTTCATCATTAAAATATAGACGCGCTCTGCTGGATATCTGCTTCGTGTGCCCTGACTTGTGGCTGGCAAGATGCAGCCGTACCATACTCTGTCGACCACTTACCCCACGTAGCGGGGTCACAAACCCTGACAGAAATGGCGAGCAAAAGAGAGAAAGGAAGGTGACAGGTGTGGTGGTCAGATATCACCATCTTGGCTCTCCTCGCTCATGAGCGGGCGTCTCGAGCGCGTTCTTGTCGGCGAACGGGTCGTCGTCGTCCTCTTCGTCAGAGTCCTGCTGGACGGGCTGGACGGGAGGTCTCGGGGGCTTGGGAGGAGCGGCGGGGACTGGAGGCGAGGGCCTCGACATCGGGGCCGGGCGTGGCGGCGCGGGAGGACGAGGGGATGGCGTGTGGCCGATGCTCAGGCCAGAAACGTCCGGAGGAGGTGGGGACATGGAGTTCTTGGCCTTTTCGGTCACCACTATATAATGTCAGCAGGCGGTCCAGGCTTCGTGTGGCTGGGATCATCGTACTTCGATAGATGTGAGCTTGCTCGGCCAGATCGTCGTCCGAGTCACTGTCGGCGTCGATGGATCTATCGAGTTGCTCAAAAGTCATGAGCGCCGTGACGAGCTCGTCGTTGGCTCTTAGCAGACTGCCAAGCCATTCCTCAGACTCGACGTGGTGAATCTAGGGGTCGTTAGTTAGAATGCCGCGGTCACCAGCAGAGCAACACTCACGTAGCGCAGGATCTTTCGCCTCAGTTGCTTGCAGCCTTCGAACCCTGCGACGGCCTGGGGGTTCTCGGAGATTCGCTCCCTCTCTCTGTTGATGCTCTGAAGGGTGTTGTTGAGGTTGGTGGTAGCGATGGAACTTTCAGCGATGGCGCTCTTCATCGCCTCCTTCTCAAGCTCGAGGTTGAAGGGCTTCCGCTTGCCCTTCTTATCCTTGTCCTTCTTCTTCTTATCCTTGGAACCACCGAAGAAGCCGCCTCCCGAGCTTGATGGGGACTTGGTGTGGCTGAAGGAAGAGACAGTGCCGGATGCACCGCCGTAAGGTGCTTGATGAGATCGCGAAGACTCGCCAGCACGGTGAGTAGGGGAGGGGGGCTTGTCCTCTTCCTCCTCGCCGAACGGGTTCTCCGTCTCGCGAACAGCCTTGGATCTCTCCTGAGTAGCAGCGACCTTGCGTTTGGGGAGTTCCTGATTTTGTTAGCGGCAGACTTTCCTTCGCATGAGTAGTTTTACCTGATGGAGCTTGGCGATGCGCTCCAGGCCCGGGGTGCTCTTGTACTGAGACCAGCTGCGGAACAACTCCGTACACTTCCTCTTAACGTCAGGGTCGGATAAGTCGGATGTTCCGCAGACTCTCAGACGCTCCAGTAGAGTCTCGTCAGCGAAGGCTCTTTGGAAGCGCGGGCCGGCATTCTGGATGAGACCATCGAGGATGGTGAGGGCTCTGAGTTGGCGATGAACGTTGCCGTACTTGAGCTTCTTGCGAATGGCGCGGGCAGCTTCGGCGGGGCCGGAAGCCTGCAGCTTGATGACCTCGACGAGGTCGGGGATGCCGCTCAGGTCATCTTCCTCGTACGTCTCACTGGTGAGCGTCTCGATGTTTACGGTAACAGCCGAGTACGGCTTCTTCTGCAGAGGATGTCAGCGCTCACTCATAGGCTGTAGTTATGAGAGCGGCCTCATGGCGGGAAGAGAGTCCGGGTGAGCTTTTGTGAAGTGGCATCAGGTAAGCTCCGGAGTGGTGCCCAACGGTGATTCGTCCGGCCGCGTCGGACTCTCTTCCCTGCCGTAGCGCGCGCCGAGGTGGCCGAGAGTGGAACTGCAGGGCCTCGTACCTGAGAGAACATGATGCTAGGTTGCCTCTTGCTCTATGTCCGCGACTCTGTGTGAGAGAAGCGAGGATTGCCGCGCAGATATCTTCGGGTCGTGGTGGCGCGGCCCAAATGAGTCGGCGCCGGACCTGAGGTGGTGAGGGGTTTGGAGGCTGCCGCTAGGAAACGGGCAGCTCCAACGCGAGCGGTCGTCGGAGGGGTAAAAGGATACGGAGCGGCGCGGGCAAGATCGTCGCCGGCAGATACAGATACAGGAGATACGGGGTCAGGAAAGGGCAGACTAGAGGTTGAAGGATCGGGGTTCCGGAGCAGGCATTTCGGGGGAGGCGATGTGCATGAAGGTGAGCGACGGGAGCAGTGGTGGTGGTGGTGAGGGACGGACGAGGCAGGCGGTGGTGGGGCAGGCAGGAGGGCAGCACAGCTTGGCTCCGCGGGGTCGTTGCTGTTGCACTTGACTTGCAGGGCTGCGAGGGCGCGTGAGCTCTGTGTGAGGTGTGAGGTGTGAGCTGGCCCCGCTGACGTAGTGCGTCCAAGGTGAATCACAAGCCGCGATGGGTCTTATCCGCTGTTTCGTTGCACCAGACAGGGCACTTCAAACCACCAAAGACCTGTCCAAGCAGGATCTGTGAGCAGACGATATTTGCGACAGAGCAAGTAATCTCAC